AAACTCGGTATAATAGATCGAAGAGCGGATGGTTTGACGAAAGGACCTTTGAAGATTGGTTTCGGAGTACTGCCCTGCCATACTTGAAAAACCAACCTGCTCCTCGGGTCTTAATTGGGGACAATTTATCGAGCCATGTTTCTGAAGCTGTCATCCGAACTTGTAACGAAAATGACATCAGATTTGTGTTACTTCCGCCAAATTCTACTGGAATTTGTCAACCTCTCGATGTGGCGTATTTTGGTCCACTAAAACGGAAATGGAGAGCTGTGCTTCTAGAGTGGAAACAAAACAATAGGGGAGTAGTCCCGAAATCCGATTTTCCCAGACTTTTGAAGAAAACTTTAGAGGTCCTTCAAACCTCATCAGAAAATTTGAAAGCTGGTTTTGCTGCTTGTGGAATTTGTCCGTTAAATCGGCAGAAAGTTTTACAGCCACTGCCAAAAGAGGCTCCAGATGAACCGGGCACTTCTAATGCGATTAACCAAGAGTTAATCGAATTTCTAAAAAAAAACAAGAATGCCCGAAAACCAGCAAAAAAAACCAAGAGGTAAGAAAATGAAAGTAGCACCAGGAAAAAGTGTTTCATTTGAACAGAATGAAACATCCTCCGAGGATGAAGGCGATTACAGTGAACACAATGATTCATCTGATAATGAAATATTTGCGAGTGACGTTTCTAATGAAGACGAAATTTTAGAAGCTGAAGAATTACAAAAAGTTGGTACCAGTTCAACTTCTTGTAATTCTTCAGCTCAACAAAAAAGTTTAGATAAATTGGTGAAAGACGATTTTGTCATCGTGAAGTTTGAAATCACTTCATCAAAAAGAAATTTATATTACGTTGGACAGATAATAAATAAAATACAGAACAGATTTCAAATAAAATTTTTAAGAAAAATAATAGGGAAAGAGACTTACTTTAGTTTTCCTCAAGTCCAAGACGAGTGTATTATAGACTCTAAAGATATTGTGGAAATAATTTCTGTTAGAAACCATTGTAGAGGCAGATACACATTTAAGATGAAAAAAGACATTTCTACGTTATCTTGAAACCTTTATAATTTCAGAACTTTATATTTTCTTTTTAGAGTTTAACAGTTTGTTTTTTGTTTAAATTGGAATAAATATTTATTTTCTATCTACTACCACGTGTGATATTTCATTTTAAATATTTCTTGATTTCCAAAAATCGATCTCTAATAAATAAAAAACGTTTTTTGTGGACCACTTTCCCAATACAGTGTTGAAATATGACCATCACACGCAAATAATAGAGGTGGTCCACTTTGCCCCTTTGTGCGGGAAAAGTGGACCACCTTTTATAAAAATTATATATTTGGAACTGTAATTTTTCAGAGTTAAATTACTAAGGTATGGTAGATTTTATATGCAAATTTTCAAAGCAAAACTTTTAGTGATTGAAGAAAAACTTAGGAAAAACCGAAAAATTTGGTCCACTTAGGCCCGCTCGACGGTACCTTGTTTTGAAGGTATTCTGATTCTCCTCACAACTGTGTACTTTTTTTGAAGATCGAGTGATTAGTTCTCAAGATATCTATTGCCATAGGCTAAATATAAGAAACTATCTTCTGGCCCTGTTATTTTCAAATCACCACTTTCCGGACTTTCCTTTCGGACACGTCAATTTTAATTTTTTCGGAAGCACACAACAAAAGAAAATTGAAGTGTCCGAGAAAAACGTGAGGAGAGTGCTAATTTGAGAATACCGGGGCCAGAAGATTGTCTCCTATCCAGCCCATGGCAACTTTGACAGTCAATATCTTGAGAACTAATCATTCGATTTTCAAAAAAAGTTCACCGTTGTGACGAGAATCAAACTACATCGGGTCTTCAAAAAAAAAAAACCAATCAAAGATTGCTATGGTTTTTTAAACGTATGTCTTAGCAATATTTTTCTTTAATTTTGATAATGTCAGTCAATGAAATTTAATGTCAAAATGTCATGTCAAAAATCCTGACCAATAAAGAAACAATAATGCGACGTACGTTTTCGTAACCAAAGCAATCTTTGATTGTTTTTTTTTTTGAAAACCCGATACCTTTAAAACAAGGTGCCACTCGACCCACCTTCCCTATCTAAAAAAGAGGGGTGGAAGTCACCCCACCCAGGGGGTGCAACTTAGCGAAATACCGATGTGGTCAAAAAGCTTTCCCCTGAATAGAAAATTGACGTGTCCGAGCGTTTTTTTTTTTTAAATCGACCTTAAAATACCCCAAAACGCCTCTGTTTCGATGTTCGTGAAACACCCTGTATATATACAGTGACCGCCAAAAAGTTTGCAACAAATGGGAAAATATTTTATTATAAAGATATCAAAAAAAATGTTTCGTGGAATCAATTCAGCATACCCATCAACAAAAAAAATCACTGTGACAGATGTCATGTGACCACAGTCATGGCGGCAAATTTAAAAAGTTCCCCTTAAATATGTGAAAAGTGGGGTTAGAAGACCAGAAATCGAAAAATTGTAGAGAGAAAAGTTGTTCAGGATCCGATTTTACGTCCATGTGTCAATTTTAAAAAAGGGACAAGAATTTTTGATAAATATCAATTTTTTGGCCTGTTTTCTGTTAATTTGAAAAAATATCAAAAACTTTCCGTCTGGTTCGCATAATTCAAAGTGAAACTAACAAAAAAAAAATCCAGTGCAGTAATTCTGCTTAATTGTCCCGCGAAAAATTGTAAAAAACCAAAAATTCATTTCCAGACCACTCTGATCTTGTTGCAATGACCTACAGAAAACAAAAATTTGGAATAACAAATTTAGAATTATCATGAAATCTTTCTAAATGATCCAATACTTACCTCTTTTCTAAATTTAATCAATATTTTTGTGAAATATTTTCGATATTTTTCAAATTACCAGAAAACAAGCCAAAAAATTAATATTTATTAAAAATCCTTGTACCTTTTTAAAAATTGACACATGGACGTAAAATTGGATCCTGAACAACTTTTCTCTCTACAATTTTTCGATTTCTGGTCGTCTAACCCCACTTTTTACATATTTAAGGCGAACTTTTTAAATTTTCCGCCATGACTGTGGTCACATGACATCTGTCTCAGTGATTTTTTTTGTTGATGGGTATGCTGAATTGATCCCGCGTAAACTGTGTTTTTTTTTTTAAAGATAAAAGTCAAAATGACATTATGTTGGCAATACAATGTAAAATTGTCAATGCTTTCAAATTTTTTATGTAGAAAAGGCTTGTGCTGCCAACATAGTTACTAAATTTTTGACTTGGGGAATTATCTTTAAAAAAAAACGAACTTTAACATTTTTTTTTTGATATCTTAATAATAAAATATTTTCCCATTTGTTGCAAACTTTTTGTCGGTCACTGTACATATACAGGGTGGGGCACGAAAAACTTTCCACCCAGGTTTTCTCAGGTATTAGGTGATTAATTAAAAATCGCTCGAACACGCCAATTTTTGTTTTTTGGGGGATACATTTTATTGGTATTTTCACCCCCAACCTGTCAACCCCCAAGTGGGGGTGACAGGTAACCCCAAAATTTCAAATGAAAAGAGGGGTCGAGTGATACGTCATTTGATAGCTATTTTCATTAAGATTATATCCCCGAAGTTTCAAGTTGCTACTATTTACCCTGTCGAAATGGCGGCTTGTCAAAGTTAGGAAAAATCAATGGAAAAATGCTGTGTGGTTTTTACCTGTTACCTACGCATAGGTGTGACAGGTAAAAACTATACAGCTTATAGTTGGGGAGCTGGCGTCAAAAACATGCAAGAGTTTTCGCAAGGCGGATATTTTCAAAATAGGTCGTACTTTAGTGTTAGAATGCTAGTGTACAGTCAGCACTCACAGTTCCGGGACAGCTGGCTCTGGGACGCGGGCAAAGTTGTAATTTTAAGAAGCATCTAAACTGTTTTCTCAAAGCTCAAAATTTATAGAAATTTTGCACATTATCTGTTTGAAGGTCACAGATAACGTATGTAAATCGTCAGACGTCTAGTTCGTTGCAAAAAGGGGGTCAGACGTCCTCAAAGTTTTTATTTTATGGCATTTTCTTCGGTGTCCTGTCAAAATATATTTTTGCAGGTATTTGACAAATATATTTGAAGAAAATGCCATAAAATAAAAACTTTGAGGACGTCTGACCCCCTTTTTGCAACGAACTAGACGTGTGACGATTTACATACGTTATCTGTGACCTTCAAACAGATAATGTGCAAAATTTCTATAAATTTTGAGCTTTGAGAAAACAGCTTAGATGCTTCTTAAAATTACAACTTTGCCCGCGTCCCAGAGCCAGCTGTCCCGGAACTGTGAGTGCTGACTGTACACTAGCATTCTAACACTAAAGTACGACCTATTTTGAAAATATCCGCCTTGCAAAAACTCTTGCATGTTTTTGGTGCCACCTCCTGGACTATTAGATTACCGAAAAAAAGCATTTATCCTAACTTTGACATGCCGCCATTTCGGCAGAGTTAACAGTAGCAACTTAAAACTTCGGGAATATAATCTCAATGAAAATAGCTACCAAATGACAAATCACTCGACCCCTCTTTCCATTTGAAATTTTAGGGGTACCTGTTACCCCCACTTAGGGGTTCACAGGTAGGGGGTGAAAATACCAATAAAATGTGTCCTCCAAAAAACAAAAATTGACGTGTCTGCGCGATTTTTGATTAAACACCTAACACCTGAGAAAACCTGGGTGGAAAGTTTTTCGTGCCCTACCCGGTATATTTGGTTTTCATGTCTATATAATTTTGGATCATCTTATTTAACATTGGAAGAGGGCTACTCCCACTTTAAATTGACCTTCCCATTATGGATAGAGCTTTGAGAAAGCTGTAAGAGACTCAAACTCATAGTCAAGCTTGAAGTCTTCCTGCACTCAACTGTTACTGCAACAGTAGTCTTGTACATATTAATTGGTATTTCGCATTTGTTAGGAAATATTCTCTTATAGTACAAGATAAACTATTACTGAAACACAATTCAAAAAGCTTTAAAATTAATTTTAATGAAAGTAATAATAAAAATTACACAGAATAGTCTTTTTTAAGCAATGATACATGTCTTCAAATTTATATTATGTCCACATATTGTAATAATAAGTCCTATAATGAGTCAGCTACACTACACCAAATTGTAACAATTTTTTTTACATGATTATTATTAATCTACTTCTTATTCAACTATACTATAACTAAAATCTAAAACCTTAAAGGATGTAAAATGACAAGGTACATTTTTTAAAATTCAACATATTAAAACATACACTTATTAGGAACAGTCAGATCTTAAAAATACAGTCTTTTGTGTTTCTTCCAAAAACCTATCATAATAAAACTTTGCTATCACTAAACTTGTCATAAATCTTTTTATTTGTTTCTAATACTACTGAACTATCGTCACCAAAAACTTCTTGCGAAGCGTAGGTAATGTACAGAAACCCATTTGGTCCTGCATGCTCTGTATAAACTTCACCCAAAGTCAAGGAAAGGCTTAACATTGATCTTTCATTAACCAGCAAGTAGAGAGCTTGATTTTGGCCCATTCGCATGCGATTTCTGAAACAAAATTAAAAGAATTACTCATCATCACAAACAAATTCATTATCCTATAAAGTATTGATTATTATTTTTTGCAACACCAGTAGTCTTATCTGGTTTTAAATATTTCTATAAGAGTTTATCAATTTTTCTTGGCATTGGCCGCGTTTTACGTCAAAAAAAATCATGTTTAAAAACTTTCTTGAACCTACGCAACCATTTTCGTAAACATGTAAATTCCACGCGTTCGTCTGTGGTCAGGGACTCGATTTTTGTTTCGTTGGGATGCTAGATAAGATGAACCTACTTATCTTAAGGATTTACCCACTCATGAAGATGAGTAATTATTTTGTTAAATGAATTTGTTGGAATACTTGTATGAGGATTGTGGAAGATTTTGTTTTATAAACTTTTAAGTTATGAGAAGAAAATCGTGAAAATAATGCTAAATGTTATGAAAATTGAAGATATTTTTATCTTAAAATTTAGTTTCTATTGAGATTACAAGTACAGTGGGAATCATTGCAATTGGCACATACTATACTCTTTTAACATCCCTCGTATTGAATCGAAATTTTACCCAAAAAATCTATTTAGGGCAGTGGTGTACAAATATTTTGTTTCCCTTTAACAATTTATCAAAACTAGTAAAATGAAATCATGGTTGGCAACGAGTGTTGTCTCCTCCGGCTCTAATTATCTACGATTTAGATTCAACTAAGTTTATGTGTGTGAATGTTATTTCCTTGTTGTATGTGGCTTTTCAACTAATACTACATGTGTCTTATCAGATTTACGTGTTAGGGTAGGATTTTCTTAGAGTGCAACTCAACTTAAGTGAAGAGAGACATGCATTTATTGTTAGAAAAGGAATTGAGACGACCCACAGTTAGGTAGTGCGCTTGATTTTATGTGAAGAAGCGCCAAAAAAAAAAATTTGGCATTCATTCAAGAAGAATTCTCAGAGGATACCAAAGATTCAAACCCTAAAATAATTCTTGTTGATATACAAAGTTCTATCTTATGTTATTGTTCTGAAGATGTTTATAAAACTTTAAGAACTGGGTGCTAGTATTTTTAGTGTGTATACTGATTTGAGGTCATAAATATTATTGGTATTATTGTTATTGATAATCCTTTGTTTGGCAAAGTTCACAAAAACAAATGTCATAAGATCTTAATCGACTTAATCATCATTTACACAATACTTATTAATATACAAAGTAGGGGCTTTAAAAGGCAAAAAGGAACAAAACCAAAGCACCGATTGATGCATTTTGATTAGATGTCTAAATAGGAAGTATAAAAATATCCCTTGCATAGGCCAGGTACTACTACCAGTGAGGAAGCCAATTCACTTATGACAAATACTATAAAAAAAGGCCTACACCCGAAACCACCTCATTTATATTGTGGGAAAGTTCAACTAGGTACCCAAACATAAATTGCGAAAACCATCTAATTGCACCTCCAGACAAAAAAACACAAGAATTTATAGAAATGTATCTTGAAACAAATATGCATCAAATTGTAAATTTTCCAACAAGGTACAGGAATAATCAGATATCACTTCTGGATCTTTTTCTCACTAATGATTTTTAAAGTATCTTAGATCTTTCTACAGAATCTACCATTGGCCGCAGTGATCATGTGGTGATTGAGCCGAAAACACATTCAAAAATTTCACCTAAACAAACACAAAAAATAACTAGAAGACATTTTCTAACCGCCAATTATGAAGAAATAAATAACTTCAACAGACTCCAACCAACAAGATAAGTAGATCCACAAGTTGAGAACTTCCAATGTGTTATGAGAGACGCAGTGGAGAAATACATACCGGTCAAGCCAGTAAAAACTAACCCACAAAAACCGTGGATAAACTATTATTTATTCAGATAAATAGATAAGAAACGTAGATTATGGGATAACTATAAAACGAATAAAACACTAAACATTTACCAAGCTTACATGTTACAGAGTAACAAAACTAAGCAGAAGTTGCTTGATGCCCGGAGAAAGTATGAAAATAGTCTTGCGAATGCGGATTCACCATTAAAAAACTGTGGAAACTTGAATTCCAAGGTATCAACCATAACTTTAAAAGATCCTGAATCTGAGCAGTTTTGGATGGTGTAGCCATGGCAGAGAAATTTGCAGAGCAATTTACACAGCTTTTACAACTGAAGCTTATCCGGCTCCAGCCATGCATGACAATAGAGTGGAGAGGTCCATCGAAGAAATACAATTTACAACTGATAAAGTAGAACAAGCTCTGAAATGTATGATAAAAGACTCAAGCCCAGGACCTGATGAAATCCCAACAGTTTTTCTTCAGAACTGTAGTACCGCAATTAGCCTATTGCTTGCGGAGGTGATGCAGCAATGTATGCTTCAAACAAAAATTCTAGCACCTTGGAAATATTCCATTGTCACGCCACTGTAAAAAAAGGAGATCGACATAGACCAGAAAATTATCGCCCTATTATTCCTTGTAACCCGCTGAAATATATGGAGAAAATTATAGTGAAAGAACTTTTTTTCTTTCTAGAGAACAATCATATACTTTCAGCCCAACATGGATTCCTACCAAAACTTTCTACCACTACCAATCTTTTGGAATGTCTAAATGATTGGAAAAACAACCATGACAATGGCCTAACAACAGATGTTATCTATCTAGATTATGAAAAAGCATTTGACAAAGTCCCACATAACCTGTTATTAGTGAAATTAGAGCACTTTGGAGTTAGAGGAAAGTTGCTTGTCTTGATCAAGGATCTGCTAGAAGAGAGATTTTTTCAAGTGAGAGTTAATGGAGAGCTTTTCAGTCCCCATAGGGTAACCAGTGGCGTCGTGCAGGGTTCGGTGATCAGTCCGGCAGTGTTCACCGCGTATATTTTTGATTTGGTGGAACTAATCCAATCAAGTGTTAAATTGATTGCACATGATTGCAAAATCTATGCAAACCCTTTGATAGATACGAACTTACTTCAAAATGATCTTAAGAACATTGAAGAGTGGTCAAAAACATGGGGAATGAAATGCACAGTACCAAGGATTGGCCCAAATAACCCTAACAAAAACTATATTCTTAATGACTCTGCGTTGACATCAGTAAATGAACAAAATAATCTGGGAGTTGTAGTAACAACCGACATGAAATAGGAGAATCACAGAATCACATTATTAAAAAAACTAAAACAGCTAGCTCCTGCGTATACCTAATTAACCATGCCTTTAGAGACCACTCCATCGAGATGATATCTACCCTTTACAAAAGCTATATAAGGCCAAAAATAGAATATGCCTATACTGTGTGGAATCCATATTACTTTAAGGGCCAAATTATGGACTGACAGGTAAACGTCTGGTTGTTACCTAGCAGGTAACAACCAGACACTTACCATTCGGTCCATAATTTGGCCCTAAGGATATAGAACTGACAAGTTGAGTGACAAAAATTCCCCCACAGTTGAAACAGTTGCCATGTTCAAAACTACCTAGGAAAAACTTTATGGTAAACCGTGTAGTGCATTCTCGGAATTTGCTTTGCTAAAATACAGTCTCGGCCCCAGAGCTGTTGTGAGTACCAAGAAAAAGTACTTAAGTATTAAGTACAAGTTTCTTTTTCAACACGAATCAACTACCAGTACAACTTTAAGTACAGAAGGAAATACTTAAAATATCAAGTAAATAGACTTCAAATGTCCAAATTCAAGTACAAGTACCAAATTCCACGAAAGTCAGAGTCAAGTTTAACTTGTGTACTTGAAATGACACTTACGTAGAAATACTTCAAAAAATAATTTAAGTATTTCTTATTTCAAGTATTGTTCGAATTAAACTAACAAATTGAATTATTGCTATCGATAAACTTGAAGGGGGGTGTGGTGACCCAAAAATAAAAGTTTTAGAAAAAAAAAGCCGAGAACAAATTTTTAAACTGCACTAGTAGGACGGCGGCGAAGCGCGTAAAAGCCTTCGTTTTAAGGAGCAACCCGGTATTGGGGTATAATTTATTGAGACTAGTATCAGATGATTCAGCATATTTTTCTGCATATGAAATCGAAATGGACGACTTTTTTCATTGGTCGAGAGCCAAGTTAGGAGCAAAAAACTAAAAATATACGGAAACTAAAATTTCCAACTTTAACCTCGTATAACTTCTAAACCGCTTAAGGTAATAGAATGATTTTTCTTCTAGATTCTAGACAAAAATATTCTCTTTAATATGGTGTATATATCATTTGAAACTTATCAAAGTAGAGCTCAAAAAATCAGTTATTTCGTAGACACGGCGAGATTTAATAAAATATATGTTTGCTTTAACCTGCGATAACTCCTTTATATATTGGAGTATTCAATTAATTTTTTTGCTCAAAACCTGGCAAATTTAATTGGCTTTCTTTTGACTCAATTATATACCGACCTATTTCCAATAATAAACTCAATAGAGCCGTTTAAACACAACAAAGCGCGGTCTGGCGGCAGAAATTGTGTCTCTCCTCTTTCATTCCCGCCGCCTGCTGACAACCACGAGCATGAATTAAAAAACTATGTGCGACGCCGTCGAATGCTTGACAGTCAATTTTTCTGGTCTATGGAACTTTGTGACCTATTTATGAAAAGTTTAGTTTATCGGGTTCTGCTTGAATAAGGAGTTTGCACAGGTAAGATGATAATTACAGGTATTTTTTCGATCTGAACAAACTCAACAAACCGATGTAATCACACCAGGTTTGTTTATGAGCGTCAAAAAAACAATTCGAGCCAATGAAATCGTAGTAAAAACAGATGACAGTTGTTTGAAACAAACCTCAAGTGACTTCGATCAGTTTGTTCAGATCGAAAGAATACCTGGATTATCAGTAAGTATAGTCTATTTCATTGCAGTTGATAGCTCAAATCGAGGTTTAGGACCATAAAGTCATTGTGAACCTAATGGTTTACAATGGTTCTAAAATGACGTCATGGTCCTAAACTCCTATTTGAACTATCAACTGCAATGAAATAGACTATAGTAACATGAAAAGTTAACTGAAAATTATCGATAATTTTTGGGAAACTTGTAAGTATGAACGCACTTAAGTTAAAAAACAGAACGAGTGCACGTCAAAACTAAAAATTAATTAAATAGGTAGGTGGTGGTTCTCTGAGCCGATAATAAGTTATCGGTACCTATCTGATAATTATCCCGTTATTTCAAATGTGATTGGTCTGTCAGGATCTACCGCTCGTTTAAATAATTGTTATATTCAACCATTGTGATGAATGAAAGTATCCCTCTTTTACGCTTTACGTAGCTACTACTTCAAATTTTTTTCATTATGTAGACTGTAAACGGACTAACATTGACGTCATGGATATTGTTTGTGTTTTTTGTTGCAATATATTTACGGCGCCGGCGGAATCACCTTGTGTTAAAAATCCAACAAAATAGTGCTTCGCGACCATTTTTTCTGCAGCAGATAAAAGAGAAGATGCTATTTCTCTACATATATTGTCACGAAGAAAAGAAAGAAACGCTAATCCCGAAAGATTCAGATACACTGTGATATTTTGCATCCGCAGCGAAAAGATCAGTATAGAAATTCATTCTACCTTGCATAACATCATTATTTTTATAGCGCTTGTAAAAATCTTTTCTCGGGTACCTACTACTCCCTGTACCTGTACATTAGTACATCTATTAAGATATTATATTAAGTTTTTCTTTTTATTGGTGCCGCTTTTACCACGAATCAAGCAGTCAGTTTTTACATTAAACTTCTTCCTATCACTACGACCGCTGCTTGATGGAAATACTTTGGTTATGTTTGGGTTATTTAATTTCACTACCTTGTCAATATTATTTTTTTCTGCAAAAAGATTTTCTGCAACTTTTAGGATAGGTATTTGAATCTTTCGGAACTAGCGTTTATTTCTTTTCTTCGTGACAATATCTGTGAAGAAATACCTTTTTTTTTCTGATGCAGGAAAAATTGTCAAGTAGCCCTATTTTGTTGGCTTTTTAAAAAGCTAGGTGATTCCGCCGTTAATGTTTTCCAACATAAAACACAAACATTGTCCATGACGTCAATGTTAGTCCGTCTACAAAATGAAAAAATGTAAAGTAGTATAGTATTTTTATTCTGACTTGAAACACTGCATTATACGAGGATATTTCAACATCACTTCGCTCTCTTCTCTTAATTTTATAGAAATCTATTGTAAAGTTTCCCTGTACAAAATATAAGCAGCGACGAAATATCGCGACAGTAGCCCAAAATAATAATTTAGGTCGGCACGCGCCTATAGATTAAATTATTGGGGTGGGCTACTTACTTTTCTTATTTTTCTTCTTTTCGGGAAGGATGCGGGTGCCTGGCTGACTAGACTATATACGGGTTATCTATAACTAGTAACTAGTGTCATCCCAATTTATATGTATATTATTTGCTGTTTTCCACGTATTATTTAGTTGTGTTTTTTGACATTGATTATCACCATTTAAAGAAATAAAAATTATATGACGCACATGTCTTTTATTTGTTTAATGTATGCCGACTAGATGTTTTTTTAGTGTTTCAGTTCGGATTAAAAATACTATACCTACCTACGTAAGCGTAAAAGAGGGATAATTTCAATTTCATTCATGTGTTGAATATAACAATTAATTAATTGAGCGAGTTGTAGAGTGGTAGATCCTGACCTAGACCAATCACACTTGAAATTACGAGGTTTTGGCGTGCACTCGTTGTCTTTTTTAACTTAAGTGCGTTCGTACTTAAAGTTTCCCAAAAATTATCGATAATTTTCAGTTAGCTTTTTATGGTACTACTTCCTGATAATATGAGAACCCGATAAACTAGACTTTTCATAAATAGAGCACAAAAATCCATAAACAAGGAAAATTGACTGTCATGCAGTCTAGGCGTCGCACGTAGTGTTTTAATGTTTTAATTCATACCTGGGGTTGTCAGCGGACAGCGGGAATGAGAGGGGAGCCGCACAACTTCTGCCGCCAGACCGCGCTTTGTTGTGTTTAAACGGCTCTATTGAGTTTATTATTGAAAATAAGTCGGTATATAATTGAGTCAAAAGAAAGCCAATTAAATTTGCCAGTTTTTGAGCAAAAAATTAATTGAATACTCCAATATATAAAGGAGTTATCGCAGGTTAAAGCAAACATATATTTTATTCAATCGCGCCGTGTCTACGAAATAACTGATTTTTTGAGCTTTATTTTAATATGTTTCAAATAATATATACACCATATTAAAGAGAAATATTTTGGTCTAGAATCTAGGAGAAAAATCATTCTATTACCTTAAGCGGTTTAGAAGTTATACGAGGTTAAAGTTGGAAATTTTAGTTTCCGTATATTTTTAGTTTTTTGCTCCTAACTTGGCTCTCGACCAATGAAAAAAGTCGTCCATTTCGATTTCATATGCAGAAAAATATGCTGAATCATCTGATACTAGTCTCAATAAATTATACCTCAATACCGGGTTTTTGAACGCAAACGCTTCTCCGCCGACGGCCTATAGGCTACAACCAACCGTTGCAAAGATACCGTGGTATAAAGTGCCCATACTCCTAGCAATGTGACGTAATATGCACAAACTGAGTCCGACAGCCGGCGCTGTTCCAACCGACATAAGAACCGTTCCAGAACCAGTAATTTCCAGTTGCCCACCTAAGTTGAACGTTTATCCTACTTTACAAATGGATTGATCGACTGTTTTCCCTTTCTTACACCTATTGCTGCGTCAGTTTAAATTGGTTTTGCAATTTGTGCGTGTGTTGATGACGTCACGCGATGAGTAGACAAAACTTTATTTAGTCGTCACGTAAATTTTGAAGTAGGTATTTAAAAACACTTCAATTAAAAATATTTACTTCAAGTAATTTCACTGGTACTTAAGTAATTTAATATCACTTAAGTACAAATTTTCAAAAGCTTTCAAGTAAAATATCCTTGACTGATATTAAGTACAAGTAAAATTTGGAAAAATTGAAATTGAAATTGCAAGTACAAGTACAAACCTACCAAGGTTTGGATTAGTACTTAAGTCAAACACTTGAGTATATTTTTGTAACTTAAGTATTTACTTCAAGTATTCAAAATACTCAGTAAAACAGCTCTGCTCAGCACCAAACACTAATATTTTTAAAAATCGTGTTGACAAAGAATTGAAAGAAAACTTAGAAAGAATAATTCATTATGGTACATAAACTAAATCTCACATATCCTTTTAAAATTTTGTTAAAGTAACAATAGCTTTATTGGTTTCGACCGCCTGCTATTGTAATTCTTATAATAATAATAATAATAATAATAATAATAATAATTCAGCCAATACCAATTAAGAGCGGCATGAGACAAATCATCTTAGTTTTTCAGCCAAGCATTGGAGAATATATTTGTAAGAGCTGCAGTGGAAGGATCAGAGAATCAACAATTGTGAATGGCAACTGGAGCATGTAAAAAAAGCCTAAGAGAACTGGAGGAATGAGCAAGTGACTTATTAAGAAACGAAAAGTATGGAAAAATTAGAGAAAAATGCTGAAATAAGAGAATAGAATAAGTCCACCAATACATATTACGAACATGTGTGTGAAGAAAATTAAACTCCAGAATCTCAAATCAGAGTTAAACCATCCTTGGCATCATTCCACTTAATTAACCCACAATATCTCAAACCATTAACCAATGTCTGCTTCGTTTCCTCACTAGTATCACAAAGGATGCCTACTTTGGAAAATTTGTCTAGAATAGCACAATCCCAAAACGGAAAATAAAAATAGAAAGACAAAGGTTGCAAATCATCAGGTCAGACAAGAGTGAGAGAAAAGGGACGCAGCAACAGACTACAGATAAATTTCGCATAGATACTGAACTGTTATTTTCCGCAGTATTTCCACGTTTAAGAAACGTGTGTAGTGATTGTAGTGCCTTTTTCTTTGGAGTGTGTCAAAAGGGTTTACAAATAAAACGATCGTTTATCTCATTGTCGAAAAAAGGATCTTTCCTAAAAAGGGCACAAAGTTATTTTTTTTGCAAGACACAGTGAACAGTCATTACCAAACGACCCAGAGAAGATTTCGGTAAGGCAGTTGACTGAGGAAGAAGTACCTTCTGAAAGCCTTAGAATACGTTTTTGATCATGAGAAAATTATACAAAGAATACATAGTTACGAAAAAAAACTAGAAATATCATGCCTGGTTTGGGTTTATATGCATTCATGTAAGAGTTGATTACAGAGAATGGGAAATAGTCAGACCAGGGCCAATGTATGATTCAGACTAAATACAAATCATGGCAAATATGATTTGGGAAAAGAATACGAGTGAAAGAAAAAATGGAAGGTTTTCTAGATTGATGAAGTGTAGAAACTATTGTAGATATTTTAGTGATAAATAACATTTTATGTGAATATTTCTGATGTTTTATAAAAACTCACCCCTTAAAATAGGAATTAGGTTCCACAGAAATTATTTTCAGGCTCACATTTACCACAATCGAAGTTGCGGTTCAGTTTACCTTGAATGCTTTGAACTATTTTTTTTAAAGTGACTGCATCAGATGAGTGTTATTTTCTTACCTTATAATTGTTTGGAATTGCGACATGGTGATATCTTGCGGTACTAAGAATTTTGACTTGTCCAATTGAGGCAACTGATTTTCTTTCCAATATTTTTGTACTATTACCTTGAAAAACAAAAATAGGATAAAAATCTCAGGTGTTTCATGGGCAACAATAATTACGAAAGTGTCCTTACTTACAGGTATTTTATTGGGAAATCGAGTCCTTATCGCCATGACCTCTTCCTTTCTGATCTCTGCAACATAAATAGAATGAATATCCGTGGACAGCATAACAACAACAGACTGTAAGCTAGTAAATACGCTCAGACAGACTCTACACACTAATATTTATTGTAATAAGGTATTGACTGTTTAATTAAAATTAAAATATAAAAATAAAATCTTCAATTTGGTCTTTATCAGTTTTAGTTTTGCAGTAAACAAGCTTTGTAGTAATCAATAAATAAGTTTATATTGGATGTTTAAAAAAAATAATTGTTTCATTAATTAGGATTCAAATATGAGAGAATATACAAAGTGTTGGTTTTTAGGGATGATAAGTAGGGGAAGTCGATTCAAGAGCCACTTTATCTTATTTATTGGTGTTATTTTCGTGTCTCTGAAAATTGAATTTTTGACAAATTTTCAGTTCGACTCATCCCATTTGATTTTTTTTTCGTGGTTTATAGTAGAGGGTTTGAGGTAAATTATAGTGAAATTTGAGAAGGATTGAGTGCAAACTTTTGGAGTCTCTCCTTTTCATTCGAAACCTACATAAAACAGCTTTTGAGGGTGTAGTGGTTGAGGCAAGGTAAACTACAATTTCAGGGATATTTAGTTGAAACTTGAAGATTTAACACTTTATCAAAGTTGCTGGACATTGAGACAGTACTAACAAAACTTTTAACTATCGATAAAACTGATTCTAAATCTGCTAGATAGCTGAAGTCTTGAAGATTATACTCAGTTGGAGATATTTGTTAAGCTCAAATTATTCTAAAGCTGACACAGAAATGTGTATTTGAAATGTATAATCTCACTATTGTGCCAAAAAAAAAAAATGATAACGTCCAAAATTATACTTATTTTTATCTACTGCCTCTACTAATTTATCATTAATTTAAATTAAATTAATCTAGAACAAAAAGTAGCCATTTACTTCAGAAAAAAAACGACGAAAGTTGACAAATTACCACACTCTTTCGACAAAAAAAAATACCTTTTGTAGGATATTCCTCGTCACTTTTTTCCGAATCACTCCCGGATCTAGACATATTTTTACTACTATCACCAATATTATTATTAGCACACAAACAACACTCACTATACTTTGGAAACGATTTGGAATACATTTTAGAAATATTGTTTATTGACTGATGCTTTTTTTTGCGAAGAAATCCTTGAATGAACTGTGGGCCAGTGAATTTAAAATAAAACTGTTTATTGTAAGTTGATATGCATTTTTCGGATTTTTATCTATTGGAACCAAGATAACAATAATTATCATATTTTCGATGCAATTACTTGATAACTTTGAATATGCCAAATTAGGTACTTTTGCTTCTAGAACATTAAGGCCTTAATGTTTTTGATAAAGCTAATTACAATAAACAAAAATTCTTACCTTTAGCACTCAACTTGCTTAGAGCAGATATCTTGACTTCCATAACCATCATTTTTCTCTCTTCCTTCATATCTGCCACTTACTTCTAAAAAAAAAAACGATCCCCTTTATTAAACAAAGTCTTTTCGCTATGCTGTTCTCACCGATATCTGGACAATAATAAGTGGCGATACTAATGACATTAAAGTGATAATTGTCTTATTTACTGTTTGCTTATAATTTCTTGTGATTGGCCTTTTGGAAAAAAAATCCATCATTGAGATAGCAATGAGTGTGCATGCTTATATATTTATGATACAGGAATTACAGGATGAACAGCCTGAGAATATTTTGTATAAGTTAATAGAAAATTTTAGAAACTTATCTACTAGTTCGTTCACTTCTTCTATCTCTATTATCTTTTATATTTTCTATTTTATTTTTCGTCGTATTACGTGAAGCTCCAAAGAACAGTTTCTGGTTTTCATAGTTTTCATTGCCCTGTCCAAATTGTTCCCAATTTTTTAATTTTTCTTTCTTGGTAATTTTTTTCCTAGTCCTTTTTTTCTTTCGACTGTAGATATTTTCTCAATTTTCTCTTGATTTTCTTCTACTGTTTCTTGACCTTATCGTTCCATCATCGCGTTTTTTCCATATTTCAATTTACTACATGTAATGTCTGCCCAGCGACTCTGTGTCTACGGGGCAACGGTAAGGGGAATGCAGTTGTAAGAAAAAATGGCTGATTTCATTCATAAAATACCCAGCTGCGTGCGGAATTTTTTGGAAGTGTTATCGTATTGCAACTCCTACACGAAAATCGAAAATGACCAAACCCCCGCCACTGGATATTTCAATATAAATCGATATTCCAAGATGGGAGGATACAATGACAGAAGCCCTGGCCAATAGCAAGACGTAAGGTGACGTTTAGCCCATTGACAACGACATGGTTCCTCGTGGCAACGGCCATCCTGCCAAAAACTCCACCAATCAGCTTCATCCAGGCCGGATGCTTGCCAAATTGACAAAAACTGATGGTATCTTTAGAAAATGTTTATTTTTTACAATGGACAAAATTGAAGAAATCAGTTATTAGAATAAGAATAGATCTAACAACCACGTTGAAATATTTAGCGTTTTATTGGTATCTATATTTTGTTATTAAAAAATGGATTTTCAAATGAACTATACTTCATGCCTAGTATTTTCGCTTTTTTATAATTAAACGTGACAACATGGCACATTTACGTCCGAATTCCTTCCGTAGACTCAGATCCGCTGGGCAAACAATAGTCCCACATGTTTATGTTTGTAATTTGTACTCCTGCCATGACTACTAAGTTTTCCACCCTTCTATAACGGTTCTTTCCTTGGTAATTTTTTTTTCTTATTTTTGTCTTACCAATTATTCTTTTTGAATATCATTACAACCAGGAAAGTAAACTCTGATCCTCTATTTATTTCTATGTCTTCCACTTTTTTTCACATGCCTTTGCTTGATAAAAAATAATCTTTTATTTACAATCATACATGTAATGTTGACTTTACTGACTTTTAAAAAGGTCGAAAATGTCACTTTTTTGACTTTTACTTTCGGCCCACGGGTCGAAAGTTTACTTTCGACCCGTGGGCCGAAAGTAAATGAAATTTTTAAAATTTATTGTATTTTTTGACTTTTACTTTCGGCCCACGGGTCGAAAGTTTACTTTCCTCCCGTGGGCCGAAAGTAAATGAAATTGTTAATCATTGTATTTTTTTAGTTTTAATTCAAATGAAAATGTCAAAATTCGAATGATTGTAAATAAAATAGTATACATACCTCGGTGAAAAGTTTCATCACTGTCTCGAGATTTTAGATAGTTTAGCTCGACAGTAATGAAACACTTTCCACCTCGGTATGTAATATACTATAATAAACCCCATTCAATTCCTTGGTTTTTATTTCTAAATCTTCCATTCAGATCACCCGCTATTATTATTTTAGAGAAGAAAAAGACAAGGGAGACCCCAGTGTGTATTCTGTGCATAAATTTTATTGAATAGCAGAGCGCTTTCGGCCGTAGGCCATCTTCAGTGCTTCTTTGTCAGGAGTACATCGAAGTCAGAAATTGTAAAAGAGCACCACATACTTAATGGAACGAACATACATTTAAATTATTGCAAAACATTAAACATTTAGGTGTAAAAACATTTAGGTGTAAAAAGGGGGCCCTAGGGCTGAACCATGGCAATTACATTAATTAGTTTGGTCTCGGACAACGTGTTCTTTTTCGTTTTGTAATTAATGCTGGATGACACACACTTCCTGGAACTGTCCTTCTCTATTCCTCCCAGGGTATCCAAGGATACATTTTTTAGCTTTGGTGATAGTTTTCCTTTTTTCCTTCTCTCTTTCGGTAATTCCGATGTAGTCCATATCCAATTTTATTATTTTTCCAAGTTCCTGCTCATTTCCGTTGATTCCGTCAATATTCCAAATTCCAAACATAATTACACTTTGTACTAATTGTACTATTCTTTGTACTCTGATTCCAATGCCTGTATCTCTGTTTCAGCCATATTTTTTCTATGAATTCTTTTTATATTTTCCATAGGGTGCATGTATTTATAAAAAAAAAGGTAAAGGTAAAGGTGAATGTAAAGGTGTATTAACAATACAAACAATTCGACGTCCCAAGGATTATTTCAAACCCTTCCCGCACCAGTGCAGGAAGAAAACTTTTCCCGCACTACACTGAAAAAAAAAGTACACAAATATAACGAAAAAGTGCATTAAGCCAGTGAATCTCGTCATTAATATTGAGCCGGTGAACCAATTTGTTAATATTATGAAAAGCTGTTCGTTAAATAGATGAAAGAAAAGTTCATTGATTTAACGGTTGAATTCATTGTCGCAGACAGTGGCGTATCTACCGGTGTGCCATGTGTGCGAAGCACACAGGCCCGGCTCCGAAAGAGGCCCGTGAGCTTCACAGCGAAACTGCAAAAAAAATGTTTTAAAAGATAATAGACCTAAAATTATTAATTGTGTTTTTATTTTTTTGTTGGTATAATAATGATTAATATATGGACAATAGTCTATCTAAAGCGCAAAAAAAATACCGGCAGCGGTATAGTATTTTTATTCTGACTTGAAACACTGCATTATACAAGGATGTTTCAACATCACGTCGCTTTTCTTCTATTAATTTCATAGAAAATCTATTATAAGTTTCCCTGTATGTACAAAACATAAGCAGTGACGAAAGATCGCTACAGTAGCCTAATTAATAATTTAAGTCGGCACGCGCCTATAGGTTCAATTATTGTGGTGGACTACTACGTCTTCCCGGAAACGATGTAGGTGCTCGTGCTCCTGTGACTAGACTACCAGTGTCATCCCAATTTATATAGTATTTGCTATTTTATTCCTCGTATTATTTATTTGTGTTATTTGATATTGATTATAACCATTTAGAGAAATAAAAATTACGTGACGCCCATGTCCTTTATTTGTTTGTTGTATGCCGACTAAATGTTTTTTAAGTGTTTCGAGTCGGATTAAAAGTACTATACATAGTAATTCGTACCACTTTTGAAAAGGGTGAATTCACAATTTAACGTTTTAATAAAAATACTTAAAAAAAATTTTAGGAGTGTTTTTTGAACGACTTTTGGGTTAGTAAAAAAAAAATCGCCTCCGGCGGAAGACCTGTAATGGGCCCGCGGGATTTTGGCACACAGGCCCAGAGCTGGGTTGATACGCCACTGGTCGCAGAGTAAGGATTCTATCATTTTGACGTATAGAATTCATTGCCTGAGTGAAATAACTTCTTCAATATAATAATCAATAATACAAGTAACATTGGTTTAATGGATCGAATTTTCAATTCAATGTATGCGGTTTCATTGGCTTAACGTATAAATGCATTATCCTAAAGTGCGTTTTTTTTTTTAAAGATAATTCCCAAAGTCAAAAATTTAGTAACTTTGTTGGCAACACAAGCCTTTTCTACATAAAAATTTGAAAGCATTGACAATTTTACATTGTATTGCCAACATAATGTCATTTTGACTTTTATCTTTAAAAAAAAAACGCACTTTAGGCTCAGTTGCATGAACAAGAATATTCATATTATGGGTTCGGTTCGAGTTAACCCGAGCCGAACTGTGACTAAATTATCTTCTATTCTATTCTTCGTCGATTGTGCGTGTTCTGATGGCTATATAAACCAATTCTGGAGCCGGTCTTTGACAGCATTGTCTCTTCCTCTGATCTCTCGCTCCTTCCTGCGTTCCCTCTTTTCGGTCTCGTGTCTGCGTCGCTGTTCTTCAAAAGTTTGTGGTCCATCGTGGACTACTTGACCCCACGAGGGCCTATCATTTGTCCTCGACTCCCAGTTGCTGATATCGATTTGCCAAAATATCCTTTAGAACATCTTTGTAGCGTTTTTGTTGACCTCCTTGATTCCGTTTTCCATCTTTCAGCTGACTGTAGAGAATCTGTCGTGGAAGACGTGTTTCGGGCATGCAAACGAGGTGATCTGTCAAGCGAAGTTAGTGCTTGATGATAGTTGGAATTTATTGAAAGCGGGACGCCTATGAAATCGGGACTCGTAGCACGAAATCGGGACGGATGGTCACTTTATTTTCTCAAAAACTGAATACTAACATTTCAAATGAATCCAGTAGAAACCAACCACAGAAAAAATTCATGGAAATTAACTTTGAAAAACTAAATAAAATATCAAATACATGATCTTACATTCTAATGGTTTTCTCAAAAACTGATATGGGAAAAATTTTGAAACTTCTGGAGTAGAGAGAGAAAGACTAGGAGCTCATCATAACAACCTCAGGAAAAATTCATGGAAATTAACTTTGAAAACCTAAATAAAAATAAAATTCATATGATCTCACATTCTAATGGTTTTCTCAAAAACTGATTAGGGAAACATTTTGAAACTTCTAGAGTAGAAAAAGAAAGACGTCTGACTCTTGATTCCAGTGTCCAAAATGCAAAAAAAACTAAACAATAAACAGTAAAATCTTACCAGGTTCTTGTTATGACTTCATATAATTCTGGATACCGGTGCGTTTTCTTCACAAATCTTGCAGATTTTGTATTAAACTCTTGGTTATTACTGTTGCCCCTGTAACAAAAATTTTACAATTTAGGTTTCTTGTTAGGAAAAGTGTTATTTCCAATAACTTTACCTTATTAAGTTTACCAATAATTGTAACTTCAAGCCCATTTTCCACACTACCCTAGAGGTACGAGCCGTCAGCGCGTTTTTTTTTTCAAGTGCTCTCCCCGTTAGGCCTAATGCACTTTGAAATTACACTTGTACAGCCAAAACCGTCAACTATCCATTAATCCAATCTTCACTTCTCAGCTAGGAAGACACCACTGCAAACACTTACCATACTTACGGTGTATATTTAGTGCAACAAATGAGGTCCAGGGCAACTATGGCATTAGGCTCCCCCGGGGCTTCCCTGCCTTGAAGATTCAGTCGAATCATGAACTGTTTTTCGGGAATTGACACATATGTAATTTCAGCTGAAAGAGAAAAGTAATGAAAATTTTGGATCCAGGCAGTCATGTTCATCATTGTCAGTCAGTTGTGGCTACGTCATTTGTTCCAATCACAGATTGTTCCAATGTCCACCATTGCCAGTCATTTGTACCTTGTCCACCATTTCCAGTCATTTGTCCCATGTCCAGAGTGGTAACCAGTTTGCAGGAAAGGCTATCCAATGTCTAAAGTAAGGATGACCTAACTGGAAAAGATATTAAGACAAAATGGACATAGAAAAGAGAAACCTGGAATGTTAGATAAATGTATTATTATTATGCCTGAAAAAGACAATATATTATTATTATTAACCACCCAAACTGATCCATAAAGCATCTATTGATCCATTGGTCCATAGTCAAAACCATTCCCAACTGAAAAAGGCCAATTTGTATCATATCCAGGGTCAAAACCAGCTCACTTCCTGGTTCAATTTATATTACAAATTACCTATTTATTCCATTATCCATCAACCTGAAAAAAATATGATATTCAACGGTGTCCAGAGCATGCTACCCTAGAATTCCAACGTTGTCCAGGGCATCCTACCCTAGAATATCCAACGGTGTCCAGGGCATCCTACCACAGAAAACATAAAATCCTCATAAACATACATATTTTTCTGAAAAGCATGAAAATCAAAACAACATGGTTTAGGAATGGGGAAAGGGAATCTTTTTTTTTTAATGTATTCAATGTTTTGCAACCTGCATTGTTGATGA